AAGCTTTTCTTCCTCCCCCGTGGTCAAGTATTCTGCACAAGGACTCATCTGGGAAGGCAAAAACACTGACTAGCACACCGGCTCTAGGAGTCTCCACTTCCATACAGAATCGTAGTGGCTTATTGAATGCGATGTGGCCTATACAATGACTTGCGGGGCCAGCCGATGTACAAGTCAGTGTTTTTATCCTCGTAGACGAATCTGGCACCAATTTGTAGTCTCGAGAGAACAGAAAACTTGGCTGACCTGGGCGGAAGCCGATCTGGGACTGCCCCCAGCCGGTGCACGTGCTAAGCGTGCCACTTGCCACTGCACCGCGTCCGCCTCAATAATAATAGTAGCGATAATAATATCAAAATTAATAATCGTAGCAGAAGTAATATTGATGTTTGTGATAATGAAAACACTGGTTCCAGACGAAAGGCAATTTTAGACGATGATGAATGTGATTGCCCCCACCAAACGTACGGTGAGGAGTACGAAAGCGGTGAAATAAAGCGATTGACGAAACCGCAGGATTGTGGAATCGAGCAATGCGTTATCCAGGTATCGTCTAGTTACAGAACTTTCCGTTTTGAATCCTGTTCGACCTTGAATCCAGTTTCATCAAAATTAAATACACTTGTCACTTTTATATTTTCTATTCTGTGATATCAGTAATAGCAAATATAAAACTACTAAAAAAATAACTATTATTCGATTTTTAAGGTGGAACCCGGACGAAATACGAGTCTGACTCTTTTCCTTGAATCAATCACCCTAAACTCACAGGACAGACTGCAATTATCTCAATACTTTGTAATTAACGAAACCGAAATTCATTCGTTGTATTATGTTGAACTTGGCAGGTAAGTTCGTTCATGAGATCGATTGAAAATTTTGAAATCGATGACGGCCCAAAAATCAAAAAAGGGGAACACAGATTCTTTTTTGACAGCCCAAAGGTGGTGTGTGAAGGAATAATCATGATATGCCGCTCTGGTGGGCGTGGCGAGCGGCGCCACGCTTGGGAGACGAGTTGTCCTGCCTGGCTGTTCGAGTTAATGTGTTAAAGAAGCGAACAATTTTGATATCATCCGTCATAAAGATTTGTTCCCGCTTGAACTGTAATCAGTTTCGCTTCACCGACCGACGGACTGATGCATATCGAAAATTTGCCAGGCATCGCGGCACAATACTTCGCGCGCGACGACGCGGCAGACCAGAATTGCTTGTACGTCTCCCGCCAAAAGAGGGAAGACCCGTCGGTATTAGTTCATTCCTTTTTGATCTGAGTTCGCTCCGAAATTGCGGTGGTATTTTGAAGGCAGTTGGCACGATACATCTCTAAGCCGTCTAAGACTGAAACCCCTAGCAGGACCGGATTTTGCGCTCGTAAGCAAGCGCTGTGTGGAGCCTTTCCTAAAGAAGGTGCCCTCATGGCGCCCTATCAAGCTACAACATACCGACTCGGACGTTCACTGCGTCCGCCCACAAAAGTCCGAATCATTCAGACGCGTATTGCTTTATTTAGCACAGTACGAAACGAAGGGATTGAATCAACGCGGGTGCAATGCTGCATGGATGTATGGGCATGTACATGCAGCCGTATCTACCGTAGCGGTTATTGGCAAGATGCCTATAAGAAACTCGTCCGAAATCGCTTTCTAAATCATTATTTAAGAACGAAGGCCTTTCTTCGTAGGCTTTTCTACCGTTCAACTTCGCTTTTTCTCCTTTCTCCCCACTATTCAGCACCCCTCTGCCATTTAAGACAGAGTACCTAATTATCGTGCCAACTGCCTTCAATGCATATTTAGTCATGCAAGGATTTTCAAAGAGAAAAAAATATTTGTTTCTTTATGATCGGCGAAATTACTCTTGATAACTATTTCAGCACTTATCGACGCTCTATATTTACTGCAGCAGTTGGGGTCGGCTTCACGATAAGGTACTGGTTCCAGACTAGAATGTGGTACGGTTCATCCTCCTTCACAATCTCTTTCGATCGAGTTGGACCAGGTCAGAAAAATCACTTAAGTTTTGCTGTTAGTCAAATTGAAGTAAAAATGGCGAATGAGAGCTTGAGAAGGCCAGGTCTACTTGGGCGGTATCCAGTATACAATCTCAACCCTGGCCGCACGCGTGGTAAGCGGGACACTTGTCACCATACCACTTACATTGACCTTACCACTTCCGCAGCAGTAACAAAGAAAATGAATGAATGAACGAATAAGGAGAACAAATGAATAAAATCTCTTTCAGATGTCAAAACGTGTCCTTTTCCTCTCCTTCGGTCTTCTTTGGCCTTCACAAATGTCCCAAGCATCGAAAGACTAGGACCGCTACGTAGGTGTTTGACAAGTACAAGACCGCAGGTCACACAGTAACCAAATAAATTTAAGAATTCAATAATTTGTGGCACAGTTACAGGTTGTCCATTCCGGATCGTTCCATCAGTGCCTGGGCGGAAAATTCTCATGAACTTCAATAAGATGCGAGGGACAAACTTCTACGAGAAGCAAGAAAACTACAATTTGAGGTGTGTTGCGAATGCTTTTCCAGATCTTGCAATATTGTATTTTTTATTTTGAGGGCTAGAGGGGGATAGCACGGCGGTGTGGCACTTCATAACACCCACATGATCTGGAGGTTTGATCCTGAATGGACTCCTGGATCAGACCAGGAAGCATTCGAGTAGCTGGTAAAGTGGGGCCACTTTCCTCTAAGAGTACATTTTCTCCTCCCTAATGAAATTGGCTTGTACATCAGACGGCCCTCAGTGCATAGGTCATATTCGATGCCGCTGTGGTTCTGGATAGAAGTAGAACGCGTGACGCACTCTTAGATGGGATTGATCACAACCTGTGCCCAATTTGAAGCGTGCTACGTTCTTTTCTATCAACTTCGGCACAACATGGCAAGCGAACATGTAGTGAATAATATAGGCAAAATTTTTTGTCTTAACCTACTCTTCAGAATGGTACCTCCCGAAACTAAAAAATTCCATTCAACCATGGATAGCGTCGATTTTGTGCTTGAAAGCCTATCTCCGCTTTATTTGCCCAGATACAACATCACCTATAAGGAGCTCGCCGAAGACCGTAAGTTTCTTATTACTCTCGTTTTAATATACACTGGAATACATTCGAAAATGATCTAAATTTTCACAAACAGCTCTGCTTAAGACTCTCCTATTCGCAGTTGATTCGCAGCATCGGACGTTCCCAAACCAAAAATCCAAGATACACTGTGGGTCCGGGTGACAGACCAAGGGCAAAGAATGAAATGCTAGAACAGCAAAGAGATATGGGAGCGATCCCAAAGAGAAATGTGTGATGGCGGCGGAATGCGGCACCGATAATTCGTGGGTGGGGCCGCCGACTGGTGGGTGGAGTCGCTGCGGCGGATGACAGCCTTCGTCACTTGCTTCCAAGTCACGAAATTGGTTATAGAAAATCTCTGCAGCTGCGGACCATAATACTCTGTGCGAAAAAGGGGCATATGAGATGATTGTAAAAGTAGGAAATACAACATTTCGATCAACAATCATCAGTTAGCCCCCAATTACGTAGAAACTGCTAAGGACCGCCTTCAGAGGGGAAGCATGTCGACAGTTAGAACGAAGAATAAGTGGTTCTTGAAAATAGGATTGAATAAGTATTGGTGATCATTACTGTGAGAGCCAAAACAGTTTGAATGGCCTGAACTAAGCTCGAGCTCTACATCCCTGTTTATTGTACAGTGTTTACAAGCATATTTTATGCCAAACACCCATCCAAATGCCACCGCACCTCCAAGTGTGCGTCGAAAACAGGGCCCATCCCGAGAATTCAGAGCTATGAAAAGCAATATACATGTTATACGTACCTTCTTGAGTAGATATCGATCCGCCCAATTCAATAGTTGTCGTTACGAATTTCAGCTTGCTTCTGCGACAAGAATGACGTGGTTGTTGGCAGTACTCCCGTCTACATAACATCGCCAGGATTCCCAGACATATACTGCTCGAATTTCCGCTGTAGAAAGCGCTTCGTTCACAACGACACTTTGCTCCATGACTCTGAACTGACATTCGTTGTCAATGTACATTATCTCAGCACGGAAAAATCGGATTATATTGAATTTTACTCAGATGGGACCAAGATGGAAAGGTATGGTGAGCTTGCCTGATGAAGTTACCCTCAAAGAGACATTCCGCGAAACCTGGTGAGCCAATAAATGTGCAGCACTCGTAAACATTACGCCGTCTTCTACTATGCACCAGTTTGAAGAAAAGAGAGGCGCCAATGAGCAAGGCAGAGTGTTCATGAGTCTCCGCCCACCCAGTTATCGCAGAATGCCTTTTTGGTGCAGTTCGGCCTGACATTTTGCACTTCCGCTAATTTCTTTCGCTAGTTGCACCACAGTTTTGACAAATGAACTCGAGCTGCACACGTTCAGGTTAAACGGGAGTCGTGAAGATGTGCGATTAGTTCTGACAGGTGACGTCATGGAGACAGAGTTCGTCACGGATAAAACAATCGTACAGCATGGTTATAATATGACCGTCGAGTCTACCCGTATTCCTACTGGTATATAATTTTTTTTTTCCAAAGGAAGCAGAAGAAAAAACCAT